TTCAGCGAAATAAAGGTTTGTATACGTTTTATTTCATTTATAAAGTCTTTAATGTGCTGTAAATTATATTATTTTATGCAACGCAACATAATGCGCCAGCAGCGGTCGTTTCGCACGATGGAAACACCTTTTGCCTTGCATAACATAAATGGATTTTATTCGTTATAATACTGAGTTTAATTTAATTTTAAGTTAAAATACGTTCTCTAATCTCAGTACTGTGATTTATGTTTATGGGCAGGTTTTGGAGTCAGTCACGGCATCTTTCAGCTAAACATAAATGGATTTTATTCGTTATAATACTGAGTTTAATTTAATTTTAAGTTAAAATACGTTCTCTAATCTCAGTACTGTGATTTATGTTTATGGCAGGTTTTGGAGTCAGTCACAGCATCTTTCAGCTACGAGTGAAACACAAGGCTGCGGTCTGAGGATAGATTTCAGCGACACACCGGCACGTGAATTAGCACTATTTCGGTAAAAAGTGATTACAGAGAACGGTTGAATACACTTAAATTAAAATGCTACTTTTAAATGTTACCTTTTTTATTTCTAAAATGCACGTTGAACAAGTTTTTTTTTTTTTTCCTGCCCATTTTAAGGCAGCAATATAATTTTTAAACAATAGTTGACTTAAATAAAACAGCCCAGCATGTAGGTCAAAAGCAGCATGCAAATAGCAAATAACCCAGCATGTGTTCTGTCCAATATTTACCCAGCGCTGGGTTGCCAAATAACCCAAGTTGGGTTGTTTTTAACCCAGCATTTTTTAAAGTATAGCAACTTTTACTCTCAACTTGACTACATTTTTGTATAGGTAGGCCTACTCTTATAATAAGTAACGCACTTACTCATAACATTTTAAATGACACCTAACTTTTTCTGCAGACTGGTTTTGGGCACAGGACGCGCATTTTTACTGCGTGATAAATATAAGCAGCACAGCAGTTTATATGTAATATTTATCCAGAAATGGATAAATATTAATTCTGCTGTTTAAAACAAATAAAAAAACAGGAGAGTGGTTATTATGTGGAAACAGCGGGAAACTCTATATTTGTGCAATGTACGCATGTAAAAAAAAAGCTTGTGAAATATAAACATCAACCACATCACTTTATTTAGCGTTCATGTAGACACAACATTCAGATACATAAATCGTAATGAATTCAGTCCGATTTAAACAAAAATTGTGCATGTAAACATAGCCAGAGTGGCTTAAGTGAATGTGAGTACATTAGCAGCTAGTTGGTGAATCACAGAATTAGGCTACTTTTATACTGCTGCCACAGGTTGTGTTTTAGTACGCGAGTCAGAGGAAAAACAAACAAACAAACAAACATGATTTCAACCTTGGTGAATACCCTGGAAGGTGGTTTTGACCCTTTGGAATGTGATTAGGCTTGTTTTAACTACCAGTGGGGCTTGTTTTGTCACACAGACGTGGCAACCCTGAGAGTGCCAACTACTGGCCTGGCATGCATAATACAGTGTGTTTAGTCATTTTAGCAGATCCATGTGAACAGGGATCATTTTGACAATGTTGTCATTTGTATTGGAAACTTATCAAAAACACAAAGTACATCATTGTTGTGTAAACATACCCTTATATGAGATAAGCAAGTGGGTTTTGACTGTTTTACTTAATATTATTTTATTTATATGTTATCCTGAAGAGAGTCTTTTTTGAAGGATATTGATTTACTAATGCCCTTTTTGACCACTTGGGCTTAACAGAGACTTGAGTGTTTGCAGATCTTTAAGAAGCTGTTGTGTCGACCTTGATTTATTGCAGTATTGAGGTGTTTTATTTCCGTTTTAGAAAATAAACATGATTTGTAAAGGAAGTTGTAAAGGAGTAATTTTCTCTTTAAGGTATCTCTACCTTTACTTTCAGGCACTTTTTACACCTGTGACACTTTTGCATTTCATATTAGATGAATGTGTTTCCTTAATTTTGTAATTTTACTCCACATTGTTCTCTCCTTACTTCAGGCGAGTTCCATCATTCTGCACTATTCTACCACACTTTTTTAGAAAAAGTAGTGCTAGTAGTGTATTCACACTAAAAAAAGTGTGGTGTATTGCAACAATAACATAGTGGGAGGAGCTAAATGTGCTTAACATACAATTACAGTGTGATATTTCTTTTAACAGTTAAATAAAATTTATATTTAAAATTTTTGTTTTTTTGCTCCGCCCTAGGAAACCGTTACAAACAAAGTCAATGCAGACTGTTGCATCTCCAAACAACAGCGAAGTGGCCTTTAGTTCCTGATTCATCTGAGCGAATGATTCAGTGATTGACTTATAAAGGCAGTCACTTGATGCCACCTACTGGACCAGAGAATCTATGTAAAGAAAGCGTGACTGAGTGAAACACAAAATTCCAAACACTGTGCTTTAAAAAAAAATCAAATTCAAGGACAAGAATTAAATGTTGTAAAAGCCAATCTTCGCATACATACATTCTGTAAAACACTGTTTTTTAAAGAGTGCTATATAATAAGTTACAATTGTACAATATGATGACTGCAAGGGATAAAGTAGTTTGGAAAATGGATGGGATGGATTGAAAATATAAAATCTTTACTAACACTACACAATTTTAGGCTTGATTTTCATTCAGTAACAGCCTGAATTCTGAGGCGACGCCAATGCCCTTTCTGCGAGTCTTGCAGTGTAAAATGTGTTTTAACTGGAAATTACATTGGCGGCCAACAACAGCCAATGAGAAAGCAACATACATGGCACCGGAAATTTAAAGGGAAAGAGCTGTAGTCTTACGAGATTTCCTGTATCACTTCTTGCGCATGCGCAAAGCCTTGAATGTGGCTCATGTGTTTACTCAACAAACTAAAATGTATGACAAAATTACCTCCAAGTAACACAAATATAATGCTCAAAATATTTCTGACACAGTACTCAAACCTGTTTCAATTGGCACGTGTGTATCGGGGGCCTAATGGCTTCCCGGCTTAACAGGCACAAATAGCAGTCATGCCTCCCAGCTTCCTCATTAGCATAGTTAATCCTGTGTCTGGAAGAGGCTTGAGTAAAATATTCCTCGCAGGCAGCTTCGCACAACAAGCGCCACTGATACAGTACATGAATAAATTACGGAGATAATTAAAGGAAATGTCAACGCGGGACTGGATGGAGCGTTATTAATGATGGCTGGGCTGTGTTAAAGTATCCTGGGCTGAAGTAAGCATGATTAATGTGTGTTTAATGGCAGTGGGGAAGAACACGGCTTCGGCTTTAATAAAGAGAGCTTATTTTACTGGGGTTTGTCTCTGGAATTGACCTGTTCCCAACACCCGGAGGAGCGCTGTTCGACCTTTCCAAAGATCATCTAATCTTCCGGTCTTGTTCAGAGATTTATTTCCAACAACAATTATAATGGGGTGATATGGATGGATATGTCTGGGAAGTGCTAATAAAACGCAGTGTTTTTTTGTGGGCGAACGTGGGTGTGTTTTACGCTCCAGTGCAGGCCTGTGGGGTCTGTGCTGATAGACAGTGATGTTTTTATAGAAATTCTTGACTGACGCACAAACGAAACGCAGAACGTAGCCTACTAAAGGTTGAATTTAAGTCGCTCTCATTCTTGAATTATAGGTTTGTGTGCATGCTAAAGGGGCTTGTTTATTGCAGAGACCTGAATAACTTGTTAACCCTTCTAGAATAGTGTAACCATTTGGAGCTCAAACAACTTTACAAGTTCAATCGCAGAGACTTGACACTCTTGACACCAGGTCCAACTGCACTTGTGGACTGGTGGCACCCACAGAATCATGCCATTTGTTCCTGAATGGGATTGAATAGTCTCATTTCAAGGTCAATTTGAGCACACTCAGATATGTAATCTTTCTCAAGGCACTGAGCATGACTGCAAGCCTGTCATGTTTCACATAACAAGTTCAGCGCGCTTTGTGCTGTAGGTGTCAGAGATAAAGCATGTCAGTCCGTTTTTTATGTTAAATGAAAGTTTCCTGATGAGATCAGCATATTCAGTGCAATGCTTTACAGCCCACGCTGTGGAAAATAGTTTTGGGAGGCATCCTAAAAATGGGCTTCATTCTGTAACTGACTAATTATGCGGCCAAAAAAAAAAAAGAAAAGAAAGAAAGTAAAATCATACTTTTCCATTATAAATATTTAAACATCCTTAAAACAAAATACATTTACGTATTTACTTCAGAAGCCAAATGGCATGCAGTATTAAGTCGTTTATTCAGACAAATAATTATTTGCCAATGGGATAAGAAAAATAAACATAATTCAAAGTGAAAACATAAATAAATATCACTACATTTCTCTTGGTTTCTCTGAAAACAAGTCGTTATATTTTATTTTTCATTTCGAAAGGATGTTTAGGGATGTTCAGATATTTATAGTGGAAAGCAAGACTGATTAAATTACTGATTAAGAAGAGTAAACTACTGGCTATATTCTAGTATTAATATATATATAAATGTAATTTATTCCCAGGATGCAAAGCTGAATTTTCAGCAGCCATTAGCTCATGTCTTCAGTGTCACATGATCCTTCAGAAAACATTGCTGCTTAATATTTTTTTTGTGAAAACCATAACACACTACGATTTAAAAGTAAGATTGTATTTTTTATTTATTAAAAATAAATACTTTTATTCAGAAAGTGCTTATTAAATTGGCCAATAAAGACATTTATAATGTGTAATAAAATGCAATTAAAAATGCAATATTTTATTTTATTTAATTCATTCATTCATTACTCACACGTAAAAATAAATCGTTAATGAACCACTGGGGAAGCAGAATCGTTAAGGGAAAACTGGAGCCAAAAACGTAAAAATTCCTCATGGCTCCCTTCTGTATTCATAACGGCCAGCTGTGCGCTTCGGTCAGAAGGTGGCGCTGTTGTTCATAAAGTGTGTCTCTCCAGTCTTTCGCTATCATTCCGCTGATTTGCTGGACCCAGCGCTGGCTGGACACGCTGAATGTAAATCTGGCCGCAAACAACGTCTCTCTCTTTCTCTGTATGGCTGTGAATCCAGCGAGGTGAGCTTGGCACAGGAGAGGGACTGTCTTGGTTTGCGCGCAGTTTGCAGACAGATTTGCGAGCGAGCCGTGCTGGAATATATTCAGGGGTGAAGAACCGAAGGAGAAAGGGCGAAACCCTCCTACAGCCTGCGCTTTCTTCTCTCTCTCTCTCTTTCTCTCTGTCTCTATCTCTGGACGCAAGGACTTGGGCAAAATGGTTTTTCCGAAATCTCAGTGACTGCGATGTCAGCACCTCTCATCTACCGCTTGTGGAGCACAGACTGAAGAAATACACGTACTGAGAAAAGAAAAAAACACGTTAGTCGGGTAAAGTAGAAATTTTCATATCAGAATTGAACGTTTTGTTATTATAATTGTTCTGTCTGCTCATTGTTTCACCTTGCATGGCTTTCAGGTTCACCCGTATAATTCCGTGTCATTTATTGCTGCATTAGAATTCACAGTGAATCAGTGATTGAAGCAGCAGATGCTTTAATCAGCAGGTCAAATATTAGTTCACCCATCAGCTCGTGTTGGTTTACTGTTAAACAGCGTGTGCTGAATGATGCTGATTGACAGGGTTGGATCTGACAGACACGGATTTGAGGAGCTCTGCAGCAGTGAAGTTCAGGTAGAGCTTCAGCTGCGCATCTCCTGCAGAATGCACAGGTGCTCTGCTGGTGTGTCAGGAAAGCCCCTGGAGAGAGCCCGACATTCAGAACAAAAGTGCCTATTACTTTACATCACAATGTCCTTACACCAATCGCATTTTATATTAGCCATAATAATGTTATTAGATTAGCCTATATATAATAATAATGTATACTACACTGTATAAAGTAGTAACCTGCATGCATTAAAATAGCAATTTCTACCTGATTTAACCCATAAAATTAGTTTTATTGGTATAAATGAATGTATTTAGTGTATGTATTAGTTTATTTAGTGATGTTAAGTCATATTAAAACCAGGTCATAAACATTTACACACACACACACACACACACACACACACACACATACACAGAACATTATAAACAAATATAAGTAATAAATATAACTACAATAAACATGATTTAAAAATATATATAAATACGAACACACACACACAATATTTCTTTTTCCAAATATGCATACTTCATGCATTCATCAGTAAAACCACTTAAAATTCCAGAAAGGATGATAATGGACATTGTAGCTTTGTGAAGTTCTTGAAAAGTAGTTGAATGGGCACTTAAGAAAGAAAGATAAACAAGAAAAACCCATAATAGTTCTTGCAAGAATGTCATTTTTACCAAATACATTTCTGAATCATGTACTGTTAGCTTTTGTGTAAAGTGTATTTACAAGTAGCTCAGCACGGTACGGTAACTATATCCATAAAGTACATGTTGGGTTCTTCTTAATCACGTAACATGAATAATGTAAAAAATAGAATAAATGTATCCAAAATGCCTGTTTGTGTTTCCTGAAAGTGTGGTGATATTGTATCAGCGAGGCATTTTATGTTTTTTTTATATTTTTACTTCTCATATGATAACACTTCACGATGCTCTGTGGTTAAACTGATATCATGCTCTCTTCGAGAGCAACCACTTCCTCCAGAAATGATACTTGTAATATGGCTTTGCATTTTTAATGTGAACTTTTAGTTTTTAATTTCACTTGAATTATTCATCTGAAGTATGCATGCAATATGAGAATCACATGGAGTCAAGAGAAGTCAAGAAATGTCCCTCACTTTCCGCACCGCTTAGAAGTGCCAAGTGTCCTTTCATCTCGCAGCCACAGATTTAATATGAATCCGCGATAAAATTCAGCCGAGGACTCTATTGCTCATACACATGAAACATGCATTCTGCATTACATGTGAGGAGAGGCTGAGATTTAATTCAGCATTTTGCTCATTTCATTCCACACGTGTGGTGTAAAAAAAAAAAATCTGTGGACCTTTAATAAAACTGCAGCTGTGAAATGAAGTCATTCATCGCCACAGACAACTTGCGTAAAATTCACACCATGGAGAATCTTCAAATGACCTGCTTTATATATGTGCGCTCCTAACTAAATTGTATTTCAAATAATTTCTTGCGGAGTCTATATGGCACAAAAACAAGTAATTCTAGGTATCTGTTAGCATAAGTGCCCTTGTGGGTTGACATTTTTAAAAAACGGCGTTGTTCTTAAAACTCCTCGTGCACAGGGAGCAGCCATGATGAGACTTATTAGTCGTCTAGTCATGTAGGAGTGGGAAGAATTCTGTGTCCTGAGACCTCTTTCCAAAGCTGCCATTCGTTATCCTAATGAGTGTCTCCGACTTTGGGCTTAAGGGAGCAAATAAATTAAGGACAAACGCATGCCTACTCTAATTACAACAGATCAGCACTTAACAACACAATGTGACAGAAAAATCCTGAAAGACACTTTTTTTAATGGAAGGTTTTCACGATTTTATCATTTACAAAATATGGGTTGTTATAAGTACCTCCATTTTCGGCTAAAAGTATTTTGTTTGTCAGTAAAAAACACTTTAATAGCTCTTCTAATTTCCAGAAATGAGGTTTAAATGGATTTGTAGCTTTGTAAAGTTATTGGAAAGAACTAAATAAGGTCAGTACTTAGGAAAGAAAGAGAGGAAGGATAAAAACATAACAGTCCTTGACAGAATGCAATTTTTATGGAAATAAGTTTCTGAACACATTTGTCTGATGTGCTCTCATTGATTTTAAAAGCAGAAAAACTAGGTTAACCCTGTAAAGCCTAATATTAAATAGATTTTTTTTTTTAATGGAACAGTTTACTGAACCTTTTGACAAAATATTCATATATGTATCAAATATGATACAACAGACTTTTATATAGTATTATATTGAGAGCATGGAACACATACTCAAGGAGGAAAAAACACCTCAATTTAATTCAGGTGCCCAAACCGAGTAAAATATGAATATATACTATTTGATACAGTTGCTAATATTAATATGACCAAAAGTAAGATTCACTTCTTACATAAAATGCACATAAATCAGGTGCCGCTCTATTTGCTAATATTTAAATGCTTTGCTCTGTAGTTTGTATTGTGGGGGTCAAAACATATTTCAATGCAATGCAATGATGATTGAGAGATGAACAAATACATATTCTTCAAAAGCTTGATGCATCATGCTTTTTCTAAAAATGATGTATAGTTAATCAAGGAAACCTATTGCTTCAGTTCAGTAAATGTTCATTTTGAAATAACAATATAAAAGTTATTCTTGCGGTTACTTAAATCATTGAAGATTTCACAGCAAGACCATGACCTGAAGGGGAACATTTTTAGAGTTACATTAAAAGGCCTTTTATCTTGCTAAAAAAGTATGAACTATCAATCAGACGACAGAAGATGTATAGTAGATTGTGTACAACAGGTTTTTCAGCAATGTTTTGATCATGTTGATAATTTAGTGGCCTTAGAAATTCACATATCAAATCAGGTTTTTTAATGTCGCCGTGACTGAAATACACAAATATTAAAATCTCTTGCATCGCTCTTGTTTTATAATTTGTATAGTTTTGTGTTGTTCCTAGAAACAGTTTGCATTCATCCGCCCTCTCTCAATTGCTAGATTGGTCATCTCACCTGCTGCTAAATACAACCCAGCTGTTCGCCAAGCTGTTCATCAAACATTTATTCATAATTTAAAAAGGAAAAAACAGACATCACGTAGGAAAATAGACTTCACCCGTTACAGTAATGCAATAATGTGCACATTTATCCCAAATCTCTCTGGTATCAGCGTCGGCACACGGCTGTTTCTCTGTCGGGAATGGTTTTGATAAGCTGTCTTCTATGCATTTGCTTAAACTAACAAGTCACTATGAGATGCAGTTGTCATTTGTTTTGATGTAAAGTGCCTACAGGCAAAGGGACAGAGTGAATGATGATTATCACAAATCTGTGCCTCTGTGTATCGCTTCCCTCGCCGCTGCCGCCAGCCTCATCTGCTATTTTGATGATGTGCTCCGGTACCCATAGAGGCCACTCTCTGGTTCCACAGAAAGAGAAAGCAATTGATAGGCTGTTATTAATGGCTTTGTGTTTCAGAGTGAAAGCTTCACTCGTCACCACCTGAGATTAATATTGTCACGTCCACTTCAACTGTGCCTCAACGTCGGGCATTGCTCATCGCTGTATCTCTCCATTTGTTGGGTTTCAGTTTGACAGTTTGTGTTAGTAGGTCACTAGGGCTGACTGATATATTTTTATATCCTATATCCTGTGTGGTATATAAGGCCTTTCTGCTAAGTAGATTCAAAATGTTTAATGCAAGAACTAAAATGTAATTTAAAAATGTAATAATTTTAATTTGCACTAATATAACAAAATGTTAAAAAAGCATTGAAAACTGAGATAGATAGATAGATAGATAGATATCTTCTTACATACAGTAAAACATTTTAATACATAAAAAACATAGATGTTGAAATTTTAATAAAAATTTTTTATCAAATCTTAGAAATGGACAGTTTGAACTGAGTCACATAAATGGAATCATTTCAAAAATGTTGTTTTTGGCACTTAAAGGGATAGTTCACCCAAAAATGAAAATGACCCCATGATTTACTGACCCTCAAGTAGTGCTGGGCGGTATACCGGTTCATACCGAATACCGGTGTTTATTTTTGTTATGATATGCATTTTTAAAATACCGCAATACCAGTGTATGTCGCTTAAACAACGTTCGGAACGCGACACTGTTTGAAAGGGGTCCCTTTTCACTGTTGCACTGTGGTGAGGGAACAGCTGTATGTGCTACTAAGCGTGAAAGTTCCGAAACTGAAGCTGTAGAACTAATAGAACGTTATGACTCATCCACAATATCCACATTGACCGCCACAAATATCCACCACCCCCTGCCATCAGCTCCCGCGTATCACACACACGAGCGCGACTTTAGCACTAGATATAGCAACTTTCAGACCCTTTTAGTGGCTTTTTTCCATAGAATATTCATACTGACAAACCTAGCGACTTTTTTTGGATAAACAAAAAAAAATACCGTCATGTACCGTGAAACCGGTATAATTTTGAAAAATACCGTGATATAAATTTTTGGTCATACCGCCCAGCACTACCCTCAAGCCATCCTAAGTGTATATGACTTTCTTCTTTCTGACGAATACAATAGGAGTTATATTAAAAAATTTCCTGGCTCTTCCCAGCTTTATAATGGCAGTGAATGGTGATCAAGATTTTGAAGCTAAATAAAGTGCATCCATCCATCATAAAAGAAAATGTTCCACATGGCTCCGGGGAGTTAATAAAGGCCTGTTTGTGTAAGAAAA